ACTGCTACTGCTACTACCGCTACTACGTTACTTATAATGGTAACGGCTATGACAAAAACCATTACTTCAACGATGACGACGACGACGACGACGACGACGACGACGACGACGACCTGCGACAACGACTACCAGCGCCCTTGGACCGCGACTGCGACGGCGACTGCGACCCCGACGCCGACGACGGCTAACAGTACAGGTGTACTGCTTCCGTCTGCCAAGACTGTCAAGGTTGATGCTGTGACGATGGTGATCACACAGACGGCTGTTGTTGAGCCTACTTGCCTACTTGTCGTATTCCTGTCATTGCTACTTTGATCAAACTCCGACGGAGTTTAGACGACGGCCTTTCGCAGCTAAGCCACAGGGCTTACTGCAAAGGTGGGGTGTTACGCTAAGGATTGCAAGGTAAACAGGATTAGCTGAGCTCTCTTTGCGGTGGGAGGGGGTGAAGGGGGCCGTGAAACCAGTGTCGACTCGGACTTAGACGCTGGTGGCTGGCAAGAATATGTAACAAGCAACACGTTGCCGGCTGCACGTCATTGGCCATCGGCGGTCCTGCACCAAGACTTGGAATGTCTAGCTATATGAGCCACGCAACAAGAGCTCCACACAGTTGAAACACCAGCTTCACAAAGTACGAACTAGTATATAACTACTCGTAAGATTGGCCCGGAGAAGAGCAACTGCAAAAGGAACTGTGCAGCCCGACCTGACTCGTTGGCCGTGGCCGCTTTGCTATTGTCCAGGAGAATGAACATCTTCTCCAGAGTCTCAGAGAGCCGGGTAACATTCTCTTACAGTCCCTGTGGTATTCGCTAGTTTTCTGAAGCATTTCTTCTTGGTGGCTTTGCGCTTCCAGAGCACCAACCACAGAGCACAGAACCCTAAATCCGCTGAGTGAACCCATCTGTTGGGGTGGTTGGCCAAGCTCGTACTCGGAAAGCGCATTGATAATGCTTAGTTTCTGTTTCATGTATTTGGTGTCTACATATATATTTGCTTATGTATTCATTCATGTGCTTGTATGAAATATATACATATATATGTATATATGTAGGTGTATGTATGTATGTATGTATATATATATATATACATATATAAATATATATATGCTCACCCCCCCCC